GGTAAAGTCACGTAGAATGAGAATAAAATAATAAATTGATAAAATAAAATAACAATAATATAACACAATAATATTCTCACGACAGTCTCGTCCCTTCACCTGATGAAGGCCGTTTGTGTTGTGGCCGAAACGTCGTGAGAATATTATTGTGTTATTTTATCAATTTATTATTTTATTCTCATTCTACGTGACTTTACCGAAAGAACCAAAGAAGATGAATCATTGCAGTCACGAAAGCTTTAAATCGTAATTTTGTTTGTTATTTTCTCTAAACCTATCTACGTGACTTTACCGAAAGACCTCAAAGAATACGAATTCCTGCAGTCACGAAAACTTGAATCTGTATTTTAGACTGCAGGAATCCGAAGAGCTGTAAAGCTCTTTTGTCAGAGACGTCCAGTAGACACGGGGGGAGGGGGGGGGGTCACTTGGGGTCGTCAATCACTGGGACTTTCTTGTTTTTGTTGGTGCAATGCAACGACAACAATTTCACACTCAGCTTGATGTTGTTACATTGTTTTCTTAGCTTTATTTTGGTGAATCGAAAACATATGGTTAATCCAAATTGTCTTATGGTTGTTGTTGTTGTTGGCTTGCACCACATTGATTTTTCCACACAGCGTTTTAATACGTTTTTTTTGTGTGTGTAATATTTGCTGGTTTATTCCAGAATGTTTATGTTACGCGTTGTCGCTTTAAGATGTTCTGTGTTCAAATTTTGTTTGTTGCGGTTGCACCCGACTTAAGAGCCGCATGGCTCACAGGGCTCTACCTAATAAATGAAACTTGAAACTTGAAATGAAGCCACAGACGTGGGGAGGTAGCAGTGGGTGGACTTAGTGGTGGTTGTCTCATCGCCGCGATATCTCCTTCGTATGTGCTGCGGTGGATCGGGGCGTTGTAAGCTGTTGCGTTCTGTTTGCAATTTTGAGTTTCATTTATTTTCGGGTATAGCCCTGTAAGCCATTCGGCTCTTGAATCGGGTGCAACCGCAACAAACAAAAAACACGAACAAGAAAAACATCTTAAAGTGACTTTGTGTGACTGTGCAAAACAGAAAATCCAGGAAAAAAACCATCAAAATATTCCTGAAATAGCACCGTACACCACCAACGCTGTGTGCAAAAATTCCAGTGGGATGCAAGTCAAACAACAACAACAAGACATACTCTTTGGTTCTATTGGGTAAAGTCACCTACGATCCTAGCAGTCACGAAAGCTTTAAATCTAGAATAAACAACAAGACAACTTAGATTTAAGGCCATCAGTCTAACTCTGTACTACAACAAACAAACATGGCCCCAAACCAAAAAAAACGTTTTCGAAATCACCAAAATAAAGCCATAAAAGCAATGTGATCATAGTAACTGTGACCGAATGCTCACAATAAACGACATAAACAACATGTGTACCTTCTTCTTTGGTTCTTTCGGTAACGTCACGTAGAATGAGAATAAAATAATAAATTGATAAAATAAAATAACAATCAAATTCCCACGACGTTTCGGCCACAACACAAGCGGCCTTCATCAGGTGAAGGGACGAGACTGTCAGGAGGACAGCGCTGGAGCGATCTGAGCTTGGCTTTGTTCGCTCCAGCGCTGTCCTCCAGACAGTCTCGTGGGAATTTTATTGTGTTATTTTATTAATTTATTATTTTATTCTCATTCTACGTGACTTTACCGAAAGAACCAAAGAAGATGAATCCTTGCAGTCACAAAAGCTTTAAATCGAAACGTGTGTACCACCAAACACTGCAGCAGTCGCACAACAACTACAGGAGACGTTTTTTTTTTGTACTTTTGTGCTTCAGGTATCCACGCGCCCTCTGGCTCGGTGATGGGAGACCGTGACCACGTGTTGGGCACCCACGGTGGATCTGGCTTTTTGCCACTCACGCCGCCACGATCTGTGACCCTCTGCCACTTTGCAATGCCCCCGCCACGTGTGTAAACATGCCACCGTTATAGTGGCTATCTGCAATTAACCAACTCTCGTAGCACTTCAAACGGATGAATCACAAAGAGCCGAAATGGATATCTTCGCAGAGTTATAAAACCGTTTGGATGTGCTTCTTTGAAGGCCACACAGCGTCATTGACGAAAGTGTTAAGTGTATATATTATTATTATAGTTTCATTTCATTTATTAGGTATAGCCCTGTGAGCCATGCGGATCTTAAGTCGGGTGCAACCGGAACAAACAAAATATGAACACACATCTTAAAGCAACGACGCGCATCAGGAACATCCTGGAATAAACCAGCAAATTTAGATTTAAAGCTTTCGTGACTGCAGGGATTCATATTCTTGGTTCTTTCGGTAAAGTCACGTAGAAGGGAAGCAATAAAATAATAAAAATTATAAAACAATCATCATCAGGTGTGTGGTTTTCTCATTGTATTCATATGGTCTGGGGTCATGAGTATGTATATGTGGTTTTCACACCTGATGATGATTTCTTGTGTTGCAGTCGAAACGTCGTGATAATTTTATTGTTTCCCTTCTACGTGACTTCACCGAAAGTACCAAGAATATGAAACCAGCAAATATAAAAAAAACTATTAAAACGCTGTGTGCAAAAATCACAATGTGGAACATGCCAACAACAACAACAACCATAGGACAATTTAGATTAACTATCGCATGGCTGAGCATTTAGTCATCAAACACTCGGCACTCTCAAACTTCCCGTGAGTATTGGAGCGGCCGCTGAGAGAGAGTGTGGATGAGATTCCATACATGTGCAGTGTGCTCATGACAGCTTGACAGCTGCTTTCGTGTTGGTCATACAAAACTCATCATTGCCACTCAGATCATCATCTAGGATATCAAAACTCTGCCATTGCGTATGTAGCAATTTTTATCCGACAGAAGTAAGCGCGACATCAACACCATCATCATTCACATCACCATTAACTTCAACATGACCATCATCATTAACATAATCAACATCATTCACATCATTATGAACATCATCACCATTAACAAAATCATTAACATTCACATCATTAACATCACCACAATCATTAACATCACCATTCATATCGCCATTAACACCATTATCATTAACATCATCAACATCACCATAAACACCATCATCACCAACATTCACATCACCATTATCATGATCATCACCATCATGAACATCATTGAAATCATCACCATCATTAACATCATTTCCATAATTCACATAATCTTTAACATAATTTCACATCATTAACATCACCATCATTCACATCATCATGAACATCATCACCATCATTAACATCATCACCATCATTCACGTCATCACCATTATCATGAACATCATCACCATTACAATCATCATCATCATGACCATCATCACCACCATCCTCCTGGGGTGAATGGCAGGTTACGTCACTCGCGGACCAATCAGCGCGCGTCCCGGCTGCACGCGGCCCTCCTCATTTAAATTCGGGTGTCGTCATTGGCGGAGCTCGAGGTCAGAATACAAAAAAAATATTCCAAACGCGAAACAATTGTTTGTATTTCTGAGAAACTATTCTCGGTGTTATGAACAGATGTAAAAAAAATAAACCAACACATTCCCAACAAGTTGTCAACAACGCTGCGTGGATAATGGCTCAAACTCCGTAGCACATTACATCCACTTTTACGTGCAAATCCACTTTAAATGAATGGACTCGTGTGAAAAAACACATTCTCCTGCGGAGGGAGCTGGTAGGAACGTTGGGTTGCTCGGTCAATGGCCAGGGTCAACAACGGCGGCACCACGTGGTGTATTCCGCAAATATGCCCGACTGTGAGGGCGGGCACAAGCCGGCGTGAGTAGGTGAAACGTTGAGTTTTATAAGGGCACCACGGGGTGACCAGCCCCTCCCCACCCAGCCCCACCCAGCCCCTCCCCACCCAGCCCCTCCCCACCCTCCTCACCCAGCCCCTCCCCACCCTCCCCACCCAGTCCCTCCCCACCCTCCCTCCCAGCCCCTCCCCACCCTCCCCTCCCCACCCAGCCCCTCCCCACCCTCCCCTCTGCACCCAGCCCCTCCCATTTCTGGATGCACGACGGACGGACGGACACAATAATCCCCTGTGGGCTGGTGGTGTAACCAGGAGGTTCCTAACAGCAAGGGCGCCGTAAAGGGGTGGAAGGTTAGGACGATTCTAAGGGCCCAGGCTGATTTAGGGCCCTGAAGAGCAGACCCCCTTTTTCTTTTCTTATTTCTTTTCTCTCTTTTATACATACATTAAATGTGCTAGGGCCCCTCATGCACTAAATGTGTATTTTGTCCGTTTTGACCATAGATTTAATATTTAAAAAAACAAATAATGTATTTACTGTTTCAGTCACACCCCTCCCCGTCACAATGGTTCATTCCACCTGCGCTTCTCCGAGCTAAGATCGCTAGTGTAGCGTCTCTTGCTTATTGCACTTGCTATGATGCAGTGCAGACAGTGACACACGCAGGCATGTCACATCAAAAGTCAGGGCATCAAAAACGTAAAGAAAAGAAGGGAAGAGAAGACAGAGAGCGCCGAAGTCGACAGTATGTGGTGTATGTCACAGTTTTTTTTTTTTCTAAAAGAAAGGTAGCTTGCCCTATTCCTGTATTCCAAAACTTTCAGAGTTACTTATTTTTGTTTGCTACATGACCTGCTTTTATCTAGCTAGCTTAGTTAAATAATTACTGAATTATGATTTACATCCAGCAATAATAACATCTCTGCTGTCTCCGGGGTTATCACGTCTCGTAGACACAGATTTAGCGGCTGCTGCACACCCACATCCTCCTTCCCCCACCACGTCCCCCGTCCCCGTCTCAGCCGAACAAGGTGAGCCTGAGCGCGAAACTTCACGAAGATTGAAGCCTCTAAACACGTCTTATCTACTGTGTGTCGCCACATAATGATAACTTTACAAAAAAAAAGTAATCTACACGCTTCAAAAATTACAGAAATCAGTTTGCCGTGTGTGTGTCGTGTCTTCTGTGAAGTGACAGTGCTACTGCTACGATCGATGCTGTCAAACTTGACGTTCTTAATGTGAATAAAATGCCCCAGAAAAAATAATATAAAATTGAATAAAACATGTGTCTGTAGTAACCATTGGCTATAAGGAGTTTACAAAATAGATATTTTAATATTTTATATTAAGAAAACTAAATAGGCCAATAAAAATAATATGGTTATTATTACGTGTGTGTGTGTTTGACTTATACAGATGCAGAGTCAGCTTTATTGTCTGCACCTCGTTCTCCTACTAATGACCCAGTCCTCTCAGTGTCAGGTAAGGTGAACATGGTCAGCTACCAAGGTAGTAAAAAACTAATTAAGTTTTGGATTGTCTAATTTTTTTCTTGTGTTGTATAGTTATATGTTTCATATAATATTATTCAACAATGCAGTTAAGAAAATATTAATTCTAAGCTGTAACTTGTTGGTGACTGGGGGACAAAAATGATTTTGCTATCCTAACCCCACAGAAACAAGAGAGAGACAGAGAGTTTTGCCAGGAAAGAGTGTGGAAGTTGAGGAAGCGGTGAGAATAGTAGAATATGAGAGCACAGAGGGAGCCCTAAGTGTAAAGGAAGATAACAGAAGAGAGGAAGATGAGAGAACAGAGGAAGCCATGAGAGCAGACTCAGAGGAAGATGAGAGAACAGGGGAAGCCATGAGAGCAGACTCAGAGGAAGATGAGAGAACAGGGGAAGCCATGAGAGCAAACTCAGAGGAAGATGAGAGAACAGGGGAAGCCATGAGAGCAGACTCAGAGGAAGATGAGAGAACAGGGGAAGCCATGAGAGCAGACTCAGAGGAAGATGAGAGAACAGGGGAAGCCATGAGAGCAGACTCAGAGGAAGATGAGAGAACAGGGGAAGCCATGAGAGCAGACTCAGAGGAAGATGAAGAAGAGACTGTTGTGTCAAATGATCCTGGTTTGTGGCCAGCAAAAATTAGCAATGCAGACAGAGAAAAAATTGTGGAAAAAATAGCTTTTTCTAAAGATAAAGAACAAGAAATGCCACGTGATTCAAAAGGTAAAGCCTTCCCCGAATACCTCAACTACACAAAGTCAGGAAATTGCAGGGAAAAGATTAAGCGAGACTGGGTCATTTACAGACAAAGCACAAATGCACTATTTTGTATTCCTTGTGTATTATTTGGTCATGAGCTAAAGAAACCTTGTATGAGCACACTAAGCAGTCAACATGGTTATAAAATCAAAGACATAACATGGCGTCGAATGTATGATAAATTCCCTAACCACAAAAGCAGCAAAGCACACAGGGAGTGCTACTTAAAATGGAAAACCTTACAACAGTCTGTAATGGCAGCTGTCCCTGGGGGAATAGACAGCAAGCTGAAGAAGCTCATACAAACAGAAATAGACAAAAATAGAGCTATTCTGAAGAGGATACTAGATGTAACCTTGTTCTTGGCCTCTCGAAATGTACCCTTTCGGGGTAAAACAAAAGACTTGGGGGACATTCATAATGGCAACTTCTTGGGCACCCTTGAGCTCCTGTCCCATTATGACCCACTACTCAACGAACATCTAGAAAAAGTCAGAGACAAAAAAACAGGAACAAGATTGACATACTATTTAAGCTCAGATATTCAGAACTAATTTATGGAGTTATGTGGAAAACGAGTGTTAAGTAGTATTCTTAAGGAACGGGAGGAATCAGTCTATTATTCAGTCATTTGCGATGCTACTCCTGATATTTCACATACAGAGAAAAATGTGTTACTCTTACGATATGTAGGTTTTGATCAAGAAAACAAAAAATGGGAGGTTGTTGAAAGGTTTTTGGAGTTTAAAGATTTTCACAAAAAAACGGGAAGCGAGATTGCAGACATGATTGTAAATGTGCTTAACAGTCATGGCATAGATCTGAATGACTGCAGGGGCCAAGGCTATGGTAATGGGGCAAACATGTCTAGAAAAATCAAGGGGGTTCAAGCCCAATTATTAAAAAATAATAAGCTGCCTATTTTTCCCCTTGTGCATCTCATACTCTGAACCTTGTTGGTGTGCATGCAGCTCAATCAAGTCCAGAGGTTACCAACTTTTTTGGCTTTGTCAATCGCCTTTATGCACTTGTTAGTGCCAGCCCAGAGCGATGGGCCATCTATAAGGCAAAAACGGGTTGCACTTTACATCGTCTGTCAGACACTCGGTGGAGTGCAAGGGTTAAGGCTGTTCAACCTATATCCAAGCACCTGCCCAGTGTCCTAGAAGCTCTTGATGCCATCCTCTCAACCTGCAGTCTGACACCAGAGGCTCGGTCTGAAGCCAGCGGCCTAAAAAAGTATTTCGAAACTTTTGATACTGTTTTTCTGTTGACTGTTTGGGTCAAAGTTTTGCAAGCCATTGACAAAAGGAATATTATTCTCCAGTCAGGGAAATTAACTCTTGAGACAGAGGCAGAAAATATCAGAGCATTGCAGGAGGAGATGCATCATCTGAGGGATGAATGGGAGAGTTTATTTTCTGAAGCATCACTTGTTGCCCAACAGATGAGCATTAACCCTCTGTTCAGGTCAGGATTCAGCCGCCAGAGGAAAAGAAAACGGTTTCACGATGAGACAGAGGTAGAGGGAGCAAGGGAGCACAGTGCAGACATCATATTCAGAAACACTGTGTTTCTTCCCATGATGGACCACATAATCAATGACTTAAGTACCAGGTTTGCCACAACAGCTGAGATCTTGGATCAGTTTTCTGTAGTTGTAAAAATGGGTCAGTTACGTGATGATCAAATCCATTCTGTATGCCAGCCATTCATTTCAAAATACAACACTGATCTGACTTGTGAATTTTAAGATGAAGTCAGACACCTCAACTCTGTATATAGGGCCACTTTCCCAGGGTGTCTGTCACCAATTTATCTGCTCAACAGCATTTACAAGATGCAGCTGCAGAGTATTTTTGGGCAGGTCTGCATAGTTTTGCGAATATTTTGACCGTTGCTGGTGGCGAGAGAGCATTCAGTAAGCTGAAACTGATAAAAAAAAATATCTGAGGTCTGCTATGTTGCAGGATAGACTTTGTCACCTTGCCATACTATCCATTGAAAGCAAACTGGCAAGAAAGCTGAACTTTGATGATTTGATACATGATTTTGCCAGCAGAAAGGCACGCCGCTGGGCCATTATAAAGTGATGTTGAACATAACTTTGTTAGACCTGGATAACAAACAGTTGATGTCTGGTTCAGTACTTGTTTAGTCCTGGACTGGTTTAGGCCTGGCATTACTCCTGGTGTGTCTTCATTTTGAGCCCTTTTGGCCTAGCTAGTTTTATTCCTGGACTGATTTAATTATGGGTTAGTTCTAGCTGATGTTTCCTGATTGAGCAGTTTGACCCAGCTAAAGCTTGTTCATGTAAAGTATATGTCAATATGTGTACATTATGTTCTGTTGTGCTTGGAATTGAGATAATAAATGTTCTCCCTTTTATGTAAACAAGTACATATTTCTATATTTTTTTTCTTGTTTTTGTAGGCTTTGTACTCATCTTTAGACATTTTAACTATGCAATGTGCTAAGTATCTTTTTTAAAGTATACTGGGCATGTTTATTGGGTTAAATTTTATCTGTAAAAAATGTAGGGGGCCCAGAAATTTTGGTTTACATAGGGCCCAGAATTTCTGGCGGCACCCCTGCCTACCAGTATAACTCTCAGTGACGCCACTGCGTCGTCTGTGACGACTCACGTGGGGGAGCGTCAACATTGTCGTCACGCGTCACTCCGGCGACGTCACTAGTAGAACGCACCTGGAAAGTCACTTTTAGCGTTACACTCACCTTACGAAACTTTAGTCGCAGCGGTTTATTTATGTGGCCAACAAAAGTGAATTACATTACTTGACAGCCCAGGCCACTCATTGTATTCATATGGTCTGGGGTCATGACTTTGTATATTGAAAAAAAAAATACTTTCGGTACCCATGTAGTGACGTCACTGCCGTGCCGGATTGAAATCACGCGGTGACGTCATTAGAGAGGTACTGAAACTCACAAACAACTTTTGGTGACACTCACGATCGAGTAGTCCACCCCCCCCCCCCCCCCAAGTCTCGGTGTTTCCAGTTACTCGGGCCACACGGGTCGATGTCTCATCGTCTTTCGAAGGTCCATAACAACGAGAGAGCAGCAGCACTTTGTGAGCCGTCAAGACCGGTCGACCTTTCATATCGAGAGACACGTTTCTGCCGCAGGAATGTGGAATTTCCACCACGTGCTCAGGGTGGGGGACACACCCCAATGGAGAGATGAGTCATCGCTCGATGCTCATTTCGATTTTGAGAAATCATCAGCCATGGTCAATCCACTGCTGGATGAAGGCCTCCACAATCTGCGGCCAACCTCACAATGTTGCGATACAATAATTACAATCACTGAGCTCTATTGCCCGGGTTTGAAATGTTTCTCGGACACGTTCCGTTCCTTGGCTGCCACTCCATCACTCCAACTTCACCATCCGCCCATCATCATTCCTTCATGCCCAACTCCACTTGCATACAATAAAAATCAGTTTCTTAACAGTTTTAATGATGTCCTACGCCTGCGTCATGGTTTATAATCCGCGTTGTGCTTCTGTCTTTATTATTTTATTGTTTCCCTTCAACGTGACTTTACCGAAAGAACTAAGAATACAAACACCACCAGTTAATTCACTGGACATTTGGCCAAAGTGTAAATTCCCCAAACGAAAGCAGTGGAATTCACAACCACAATAGCATTGATACTACAACCACAACAGCAGAGACACTACAACCACAATAGCAGTGACACTACAACCACAATAGCAGTGACACTACAACCACAACAACAGTGACACTACAGCTACAATAGCAGTGATACTACAACCACAATAGCAGTGACACTACAACCACAATAACAGAGACACCACAACCACAATAACAGTGATACTACAACCACAATAGCAGTCACACTACAACCACAATAACAGTGATACTACAACCACAATAGCAGTGACACTACAACCACAATAGCAGTGACACTACAACCACAATAACAGTGACACTACAACCACAATAACAGTGATACTACAACCACAATAGCAGTGATACTACAACTACAACAACAGTGACACTACAACCACAATAACAGTGACACTACAACCATAATAACAGTGATACTACAACCACAATGATAGTGACACTACAACTACAACAGCAGTGACACTTCAACTTCAGTAACAGCCACACTACAATCACAGTGGGGGTGACACTCCAGCCACAAGAGCAGTGGGACTTTCACAACCACAGCAGACGGGGTTTCCTGTAAACCCGCAGCTCACCTCCATTTCCAGGAAGGAGGCCTCGTCGTTCCAGTAAGAGGCATGAGGCGAGGGAAACCCGGCCGTGAAGCGAGTCACTCTGTAAACACGCAAAATTCACGGATCTGATGCCACCTACCATTGGTGGTGCCATGGTGAGCGAGGTGTTAACTATCTCGCCTGGTACACAGGAGGTCGTGGGTTCGATCCCGACCCTGACGCCTGCTGCTGTGTATTTGGAGTCTGCGGTGTCTCTCTCATCATCATCATCACGGTGGCTATGAGATGTTAACTACCTCGCCTGGTACACAGGAGGTCGTGGGTTCGATCCCGACCCTCACACCTGCTGCTGTATATTTGGATCTGCGTCTCTCTCTCATCATCATCACTGTGGCTATGAGATGTTAACTAACTCGCCTGGTACACAGGAGGTCGTGGGTTCGATCCTGACCCTGACAACGCCTGCTGCTGTATATTTGGAGTATGCGGTGTCTCTCATCATCATCACGGTGGCTATGAGATGTTAACTACCTCGCCAGGTACACAGGAGGTCGTGGGTTCGATCCCGACCCTGACATCTGCTGCTGCTGCTGTATGTTTGGAGTCTGCGGTGTCTCTCTCCCCGTGGTCCCGTGGATTTTTCTCCGGGTCCTCCGGGTTTTTCCCCTCCACATTTAGAATCAACATCACGGCGTTTAGAGTATTTGGCTGCTTTACATTTCCACGTGATAAGCCGCCACTTCGTAAAGCTATCATTTGTGATAGCCAGGTCGCTTCTTAAAAATAGGTCAGTGGGCCTTACCTGGTAAAATACAAACTAGTAGTTTACATTATGTACACGTACAGCCCTTTAATTTATTTACTCTGATGCTCCCAGACCTCCCTTCCCACGCAGTGCCGGGTCGTGGAAGTTGTTTAACCATACTTCACCACGGTGGTTAATGTGGGTCGGTGAAGGGGGATGCCAAATACCCGTTAAGTTATCACTTGCCACTGACGTTAGCCGTGAGCAGGAATCGTGAACAGGAATCCAACACAGCTGGCGGGATTTCAGAACGCAGCTTCTCGCTCACACCTTTTCATGCAGTGCACAGGATTGCGCACCCTGGAATACATTCGAGAGGGCATGTTTCTGTTTCATGCCGACTCCAGTTCTTGCCCATGGTTAACGTCAATAGCGAGCGATATATCTGGGTCCCCTTGTTAGCCAAAGTGCCATGGTGAATGGGGTTGCCACGTGTCCGGGTTTGCCATGGTGAATGGGGTTGCCACGTGTCCGGGTGTGCCATGGTGAATGGGGTTTCCACGTGCCATGGTGTGCCATGGTGAATGGGGTTTCCACGTGTGTGGGTGTGCCATGGTGAATGGGGTTGCCACGTGTGTGGGTGTGCCATGGTGAATGGGGTTTCCACGTGTCCGGGTGTGCCATGGTGAATGGGGTTTCCACGTGTGTGGGTGTGCCATGGTGAATGGGGTTTCCACGTGTGTGGGTGTGCCATGGTGAATGGGGTTTCCACGTGTGTGGGTGTGCCATGGTGAATGGGGTTGCCACCTGTCCGGGTGGCAACCCCATTCACCATGGTACGGACAGCACGGGATTCGGCGTTTGTGATTTGTGATCGTGTGGCAAGAATTTGATTTGAACCGAGGTCTGGCCCACGGGCGTTGCTTTGAACTTTATCGCAGATAAACTGCACGGCGGCGATAATGGACCTCGGGGCGCTGTCCGAGAAAGATCGTCCAGTTTTAGTCCGGGGAGGGGGGGGGGGAGGTGGTAACTCACGCGGTGAAGTATGGTCAAACAAGCCCTGTGACAGACGCAACACAGAGGGAGGCCTTCATTCAGTAATGTATTGACAAAGGACGCGGAGTTAAATAAAAAAAACACAACACAAGGGGCTTTTGTGGGCCTCAAAAAAAAGTGTTCCTCCGACGTGACGTTGACTCAGCACGCCGAGATCACCAACATCGCCGAAACGACTCCCACCACCGCTTCACGCACGGCCCGACACGGGACGACCACGGCCGCTGCTATGTTGGCGGCGCGCGCGATCATCCCCACGGCTCTTGTGCCAGGCTAGGTGCACGAGGCGAACGCTTCTGTGAGCGCGGGTTAGCGCAGACCCCTCCGGCCCCACTCCCCTCCGCAAACACCGCGTTAATACGGAAACCAGAACGTGCCAATATAGATTTTACTATTTCGTGGCCGCAGGAATCCATAATCTCTGGTTCTTTCGGTAAAATCACGACGTTTCGATCGCAACACAAGGAATCTTCATCAGGTGGGCCAACCACGGCAAGAAAATGCTGAAGAACGTGACAGATTCGTCGCTGGTACAGCACCACCGGTGTGTTGAAGAGCCAAGCCATCTTGTGCCAGGCTCGGTGCACGAGGGTGTGTTGGAGAGCCAAGCCATCGGTGTTGCTGTACTCGTGACGAATTGGCCACGTTCTGTTTACGTGACAACCCTTACTAGTTGGCTGTCGGGTGGTGGCGGGTTTTAACGACACATTTATATATTTACGCGATCTAATCCTAAAAAAACCCCTCGATTATGGATGATATTGGTCGCGAAGGCCTACGTGTTAAACTGTGTTAATAATGGGCAGATGCCAATTAAATGTATATACATACACACAACAAAATGTTCTATATATAATGTTCTATATATATTTAAAAAAACATTGTTGTATATTGGTAGGGTTTGGCTACAATGAATCACAAAATAAACACGCACAAATTTAAATAAATAATACTACAACAAGTCCTGTTTGCCTCAAGAATTCGTTTGCGGTAAAATCAGCTTAGTATATCCCTACCCTCGGCGACGTTTCATAACAACATTTTGTCGACGCTGACACACTCTGAGTCGGTTGCAACACTCCGGCTGTCAACAGCAGAGCCCTGCTATTATTAAATGCGACTTTTTAGTGGTAATTATTCTAGCGTTGAGGCAAACTGCAACCAATACGAAGTCACAACGCTGTACTTGCTGGGTTTGATCAATGAAGCCCAAAAACCCTGCTCGCGTTTTGCATTTCAGAATATTTATTGATACCCTGAGGAATCCGATGAGCTATAAAGCTCTTTTTCACAGATGTCCAGTCGAGGCACGGGGTTGGAACGTTACAACAAGCAAAACAAAAACACGATAGGAGTGCAAGGTACAAGAAAGGTAAACAATCACCCAAACACATACAAATAAAACTAAACCCCATCCTACCAGACAGAGCCCGCCGAAGTATTAACTTATTGTTCAAAAGCGAACTGGCCACAAACGATAGCTCAACAAAGTGGCTATCATTTGGACATTTATATCAGCAAAATAATCTAAATAGTTACACAGGGGAAGCTACAGTGAGGGAAAAAGTATTTGATCCCCTGCTGATTTTGTACATTTGCTCACTGACAAAGAAATGATCAGTCTATAATTTTAATGGTAGGTTTATTTGAACAGTGAGAGACAGAATAACAACAACAAAATCCAGAAAAACGCATGTCAAAAATTTTATGAATTGATTTGCATTTTAATGAGGGAAATAAGTATTTGACCCCTCTGCAAAACATGACTTAGTACTTGGTGGTAAAACCCTTGTTGGCAATCAC